TAATCTCAACAATTTAAATTATTTCCACTTCAGACTTGTTCTTCGATGTCGACAAGAAGCAAGAACACGTTTTGCAAAAATGAGATCAGATGTGCTTGTTAAGATGGAACTTTTAGATCAAAAACATGGTAAGTTGTTTTCAAATAGATGATCAGAATTGCAAGAAATTTGATCATATAAAATACTTATTCACTCTTTTGGAATTTACCTCTAAATCACTGAAAATGCAGTATAGCATGTACTGTAAAATGCCTTGAAATGGCTATATGTCATTTTAGCGAATTTGACTCAAAAAATTATCAGACTCCTAATTTAGCTGAAGTGCCAACAATTTCACTATGAGAATATACTTTATTAGTCCCCGTTCCGGACGCAGTCGAAAACGGGTACATATGGATTGACCTCTGCATATATCTTAGACATGCCTGGACCAATTACATTCAAACTTAACACATACATCATACATAATATTATACATTTGCACATCAATTTGTTTCATGTTCTGATTCAAAATGGCCAAATGGCAGCCATTTTTTGTGCTTAGAAATCATCATATATCAAGCATTTCTGGATGGATTTTGTTCAAACTAGACATTATGGGTTCCTGATGTACATCATTTTATTTTTCATAGCGGATTTAAAATGGCCGACTAGTGGCCATTTTTTGTTTTAATGAATGCAGTTCTAGGGCCATAATTCTGCCATGCTTTGACTGATTATGTTCAAATTTTATATATTCATTATACATCATGACATAGACATACAGATGTACATATAAAAGACTTTATGAGTTTCTGATGCACGTCATTTTATTTTTCAGATCAAATTCAAAATGGCTGACTGGCGGCCATTTTGTTTTAATGATGCGCTTGTAGAGCCATATCTCTGACATGCTTTGACTGATTATGTTCAAATTTGATATATTCATTATATTATTTTATAGATATATAGATGTATTCAAAATGGCCGATTTTGTTTTAATTAATGCTGTTCCAATAGTTCTCGTTTGACGATCAGATACAAGATGTCAATCATTGTATATATATATCTTAAATTTGATATCTAACAAGGACTGTGCCATGCATGGCTTGTTTTATATTCGCATCATCTTGAATTAGCTAAGTTAGCTAAAATAACATTTTGGATAAAAAGACATGTTTTACAGTATTTGTAAGGTGGCATTCAACTTTATAAATAAGAGCAAAAAAACAGTTATCATGTTTTTGTTTGTTTCAAAAGTCATCAACTTTTAGATGTTTTTACGCAGTACAAAATATTATTGAAGAAAAACATGCAAAAATAGACATTTTTGGAACTAATTTCATAGGAATTCCTGTTAATTAATTTAAAAAAAAAATAGTATTTGTATACTATAAATTGTATTCAGAATTTGCCAATAATTCAGGACCCATCTTATTACTACGGTACATATTATTTTTTAATTTTGAGATACAACGTAACCTTTTTAAAAGTCGAAGAAATCTGGAGATACGTTTTAATGGTAATGATCTTAAATTATCTACTCTGAATTATATGCATTCATATCATCTCTAAATCTCATCTCTATTTCTAGTTCAAGACATCGTATTCCAGCTACAAAGGTTTGTTTCTGGCATGTCAAATTACCACGAGGACTGTCATAAACAGATGAAAGCTGCAGATATCTTCCCAATCGAAGTGGACCTTTTACGCACAACAATTAACTATGATAAATCAAATGAATTTAATGACCAAGATGAGTTTGATGATGAAGCACCAGATACACAACCACCCACGGAAGGAAAAATAGTGTCCATGGACTAATCTTGTGATAATATACATGTATAGATCTGTACTAAAATTTAATGTATATTAATACTGTAAAATGACTAATTTTCACTGGGTTTAAATTTCACTGATTTACCATTTCAGGCATATTCAGTAGGTTTTAAATTCACGGTTTCGTCATTTAGATAATGTGTTCTATGCTAAATTGTACATATTCACTGTATTTTAATTTAGCGCATTTTTCCAGTCAGCGAAATAAGCTAAATTAAAACCCAGTGAATAATTACCCCCTTTACAGTAATCTAAATCAGTGTTCATTAGCATGTAAATTGTTTAGTAGAATATATTGTCTCTTAATAGTAATATTTATGAAGATATTAGTTGCATCATGGGTTACATTAGTAACACTGCAGCTGGTTAATTGATCATTTCTGTGATGAAAAACTGGTAAATATGAGTGAAAGCAGTGTTCAGTGAAAACCTCATTTTGCTATGTTATTAAGGCGTACTCTTGATTTCATATACCAAGAATTTATTCATTTTCCAATAAATTGTACTTCTGGGCAATACAAGTATATTAACTTAGAAAATTATAATCTCTGCATTAAATAGCACAAGTCAAAATAATAGCATCCTTCCTTCCACTTGTGTATGTCACAGAAGCACTTCATCACTAGAGGGCATGTTTTATGGGGAAGGGGTATTGTATGTGTTGTGCTACATCAAAACTTTCAGAATATGTTTAAACAGTCTTGGATATATAAATTATTACTAACTCAAAGCTCCATAAGGAGCACATAGACTCTTAGACGGAGTCCAATTTGATGTTTACATCACCTGTAACCAATTTGACAATCTGCTGGATGATTTGTCGAGCTTTAAGGATGGACACTTTTATTTATTTTCTGGGAAATTTACAGATAAGAACCATTAATGTTACAAATGTACATTTTTATTGATATACCAATGTGTAATAGGATATGTTCATATCTGTATGAATCCATAATGATATTTATATATTGTTGTGCAATATCATACTTTGTTAGCTTATAGTACCTAAACATAAGTAACATGATTTGGGGGAAAAGGAAGCAAAGCTTATTCTGTATATATAGTATGTTTAAATGTGCCTCATTTTAGAAAGATCAGTTTCAGGCTCATTGAAATCACTGATAGTTGTTATATTTATTGACATTAGCTAAACATTAAAGCAAATGTGTTAAAGTTGAATCATTTTACTACTAATTTCTTTGAAGTTTTGTACTGCACAAAGAAAATTGTGCATGAATCTGCAATGTTCAATGTTTGCAACACTTGCTTGTCAGCATCAACTGTGTACAAGATTGCTCATATACTCAATTTTTCAACATTTCAATGTATTGTGAAAGGAATCTGCACTTCCCATTATTACATGACAGGAATGTGCATTATGATAATAGACTCTACTGCATCTAGTTGTGCATATCTTTGTCCTACCTTGTTACTCAAACAATAATGGACAGCACATTATTCTTTATTTCCTAATTAAACTTATGGATATGATAATCCTCACCAATAAACGAGTTACTGAACTGTCAGACAAACTAATAAACGACAAATGTTTACATATTCTAATATCGGAATATATTTAAAATAATTAGAAGCCATTAGACTTAAATTCACTATGTTCAATTACCCACCATCGACTCGTTTTTTGCTCCACCCAAAGTGGGTGGCTCAATGAAAACTGCGTTACAGTCATCCAGATTTTTTCCTGTCCAGGGTTTTGGTCTGGCTAGCTGTCACCTGCATGGCAGCCAACTCTGTGGCTGGTAGGATAAGTTTTTCTTATTTTTTACCCCTGCGTTGCCTTTTTGTGTGCATTGTTTAACAAGAAAGAAAAAACTCGGGTGACGCAAATTTGGCCATGTTGTTGGATCTCTTTGTGTCAGCTTTTAACTAATTTGTTCCTCTCATGCACGTTTTGTTCATTTTTACCAATGTGTTTTTAGAAATGAAAAGGTAACACGCCCAAGACTCCTCACCTCCTTTTAGTCGCCCCAAAGATCGGGCGATCGTATGGTAGTTGCCACCAGGATTTACCAGCTTGGAATCCACATAGCAAATGCCTTTTGTGTTTGGACTGTGTGTGGGGTTCAGGTTCTGTTCGAGAATATTTGTAACAACTAGGGTTCCGAGGTCTGGGATGCGTTCCAAGGCCGCGTGCAAATTACAGAGACTGACTACGTGAGTGAGTGAGTGAGTGAGTGAGTGAGTGAGTGGAGTGTCTAGCGGGGCCGCAAGTACTGCGACGACTAGTGAGAGGCCCGACAGTAAAGGTCCAGAGATTTCTAAGCCCCCCCCCCCCCTGCTGATCGAAGGGATTCCTCGCAGTCTGTTTCTGTAGGCGGTTTGCCCAATTGTACCGGCAACGGCAAGGCTGTGCCCCTGAAGGTTTTTACTTCTATGGGGCCTGTTGCAGGTCCCACAGTGGATTCGTCCTCGCACGATGCCAGGTTTGCCTCAGAGATTCAGGCTTTGGTTGAGGACCTGCCAGGACAAATTGCATCCCTTGCAGGTTGGGCAGACCAAATGCAGGGGGAGCAGGTTGTCTCCACTGCATTTGCCCCTTATTTTGGCAAGCCGTAAGAAGCACATGAGCTAGCGATATTCGTGTGCAAGGGATGCTTTCTCCTGGGATTGTCCTTCCCATAGCTTGGGAAGCAGGTGGGGCACAGGCTGGTGGTACCGGCCCCTCAGAGTCTGTTCTTTGTAATAACTTTGTGAGCCACGCCATGGGGTGATGTTTTGAACTTCCTAGTAACCCGATGTTCGACCCTCGATCCTGAAGCAGTCACTCTCGGCAGTGTTGTCGCTTCCGACGGCCGGATCCAAAGCAACACCGACTGCATAACTCTCCTAGTTCTAGTGCTGTACGTGGGAATGCTCAGATGGTGTTGATTGGCAGACCTTGGTCCCTAGGGTGGAGCAATTTCATGCTTAATACTGGATCCTTTGGACCTCCCCCACTCTCTTTCTTTTGAGGATGGAAGGAGCAGTCTCGGTGCTTCGGGATCCTGCCAACCAGTTGGTACAGGTGAGATCCGTGAGCCAGTTTGGCATCTGCCAAGGGCAAGCTGAATGCACCCTGAACTTAGAAAACATAACAACCAAAGTCGGCACCCACTGGCCAGAAGTAGTCAGGAGGCAAGTATCCAGGCTCTTCCGGGGGAAGGAAGAGTGGTGGTGTGCCCCCTAGGAAGAAGGGACCAGGTGATGGTCATCCCGGAATGCCAATCTCCCAACGTACGTGATACTCCTGTCAACTCAAGGAGTCTGGGCCAGGGACGCTTTGTTGACCCCGTGGGCACACTGCTGTTGAGACCAGCGGTGTACCACTTACACGCATCAAGGCTCTCAGTTGACTCGCTCAGGGTTTTTCTTTTTAGCCGGCTGCCAACATCCTGGCCAGAGCAAACAGGGATCGCACCAACACAGCTTACGACTCAAAATGACGAGCATACACTGATTGGTGTAGTGGAAGGGAGATTGATCAATGCCATCCCTCTGTTGGTAGGTAGCTGACTTTTCGTCCATCTGTTTGACGAAATAGGCTTGTTCTATTTAGTCAGCCTTGTCACCCACTATTGACAATTCTCTGGGGACGAGGCTAGCCTGTTTACTGCTTCCCGTAATCAGAGACCTAGAACTCAAACGAGGGAACCACCCAATAGGGACCCACCGAATTGGGTCTTGTCAGTTGTGTTGTCCACTCTAAGCAGACCACCCTTTGAGCCTCTCCGAGCAGCACCACTCAAATATTTGACGTGGAAAACAGTCTTCCTACTAGCCCTCCCCTCAGGTAGGTGTGGGTCTGAACTAGGGGCCCTGTTCTTCTCGAACTGGTGTGCCGCCTTTGTGGAAAATCAAGTCAGGCTAAAGACACGAATCGCGTTCCTCACCAAGAATCAAATCCTCAGACACGATCCACAACCTATCGCCATCCCCCCGGCTGTGAAGATTGTCAGCCTGGAGGATCAGGAGGAGTTGCTTCTCTGTCTGGTTCAAGCGCTGAGTTGCTCGGAGAGCCGTACTAGGGAGTAAGGGCATGGCAGCAAGCACATGTGTTATGCCCAGGGTAAGCAGGACAGACCAGCCCCCTGACTTCCATTGCCAGGTGGAACTGCAACTGCGACTGTGTTGGAGGTTCTTAACCGTTTGTTCCTCGACACAGGGTCTACAGAGACACCAAGTACGAGCGCATGAGGTCTGTGCGATTGCTCATTGGCTCTTGCGTCAGATGCCCCGCCCCTCAAGCAAGTGCTGAGGGCAGGCTTCTGGAGAACACAAAATGTCTTTACCACTACTAGCTAAGAGATACCCAATCCATTGAGGAGGTTTTTTTTAGGGGGGTCCTGTCATAGCGGGTCAGGCTTTGAATACTGACCCAGCTTGGACGACCTCAGGGATCCCTGCGCATAGGTATTAGAACAGTCGCTGCAGCACATTTGTTGCAGAGAGACTTCTCCCGTTCCTCCTGGGAACTTTCCAGGTCTCGCTTTCGACCTATGCCCTCATGCAGAACTGTTACCCTAGAATTTGGGTTTGTGTCTAGTGTTCTCGGGTATACCAAACCCATCACAGTTTCAGCATCTTGCTTTTGTTCTGGGGACGGCACTGGCAAGGTAGGACACCATTTCTTCACTGTTCTCAACTAGTTGGTAGTCGTAAGTAGAGGGCATTAACTGGGACACCCTTTTATCATTTTCGGTTCGCTCAGAAACCCCCCCCCCCCACCTATCGGCGTCTAACTCTACAGTTCAAAATATTCATTTTGACTGATTTGAGTCTATGGTGGGTAATTGAACGTAGTGAATTTAGGCAGAGGGTTTTCAACCCACTTATTCAAACTCCAGGTCCCTCCTGACAACCCCACTTTTTCTGTAGAGTTGGCTTAGTTCATCGGTGCGGAGGAAAATAACCAGTGATTGGGGAGGCAATATGCTGCCACCTCATTACCTTGGTTCGTGACATGAAAGAAAATCTTGAGGTCATGGGATTTCAAACTATTGGTCATAACAATTACAAAACTGGGATTTTTTCGGTTGCGTCTTTCAACCTTGGCAAATATTTGCTTTGAAATCCAATTAAATATAGTCAACTGAAAGTCATTTTTAGTGTAAAATCATGAAACTTGTCTACAGATGAGACATTCTGTAGGACAGAAATAATCTACAGACACAATATTTTATTAATTACTTTTATTTAATGATTCCAAATAGGATATGGAATACAGTTTTTTAATATCAACAAAAGATGAAAGTTATTCTTATTTAACCATCCTTTGGAAGTACAGGTAATCTAAAATTGTTTACATGTGAAGGAATAAATTCTTGTATATATAATCACAATATGTGCAATTTATACATCCAATAAATCAATACATCCATTATGATGACCCACAATATCTGGCAACTCTGAAAAAATATTCAATGATAAAATTATAGAGAAATATTGCTCCAAAATTAAGATGTTTGAAGGTTAACATATTCTGATAATTCTTTCCAAATAAAAAAATCGTATATCAAAATAAAACTTTATACATTTTAATTTACTCATTACTGCAGATCATTAACCAAAATCTCACGGTGAAAATACAGGGAAGTTTATGAACACAATACAACTACACCTAAATTACATGGTAAAAAGAAAGATGCATTATACATTACACAACATGGTCAAACCAGTGAATGAAAGTTATATAGCCAAAAGGCATAATTGCAATTTTACATTTCTGTGTCTTTTAGGAATGTTTGATTCATGAACTAAACAAGCCATGCATGGCACAGTGGGGGCAAGGGGGGTAGCTGGTACAGTTTTACGAGAAATAAAAAGGACTTTTTACAATTTACAAGAAAAAAAGACGTGTTTACAGTGAAAATTGAATTTTGCAGTGAATTGTGTTATCTAGTCGTTTTACAGTTTCGAAAATGTAATTTCCCTGGATTATTTTTTACAACTTTTTTTATTTGGATGTAAATTTTTGTACGTACCGAGAAAAATTACACATTTTTACAGTGTACGTTAGCCTGTGATTACAGAGTTACGGAATTGATTTTGTACGAACAAAAAAATATTGCAATTTCATTGAACGAAAATACCCCCCCCCCCCAATGAACAAATCATTCATGGTTTTTAAAAGTGAAACAAAACTATTAACATATAATCACATGTATATATATTTGTGTGCCACATGTCCAGTGTTGAACTGTGTGTGATCAGTTTAACTGCTCAACATTTCCAATATATTTGTTCCACTGAACAGCTTACCAATGTTTACTGGTATGTACAGTGATATTCATTGCGAAAAGTCTTAATTTGGCTAGTCTAAAGTCCACAAAAGTTTCAAAATAATATCAACTTGAAATTCCGTGCCAAACACTGAAAAAATTAAGAGCCTTGTTTATACTTGAACTGAACAACTTATCAGTCCCTGTTGAGGTTTTGCTGTACTAGTGGCTTAGGTTCCATGGCTAATCAACTCTATGCTTCAATGTATTTTTGACCAGCAAATAAATTGTTCATTATAATGGCAACTTCACTTGCACTCTCTCCTTGGATAAAAGACTGGTGATCACCAGCAATCTTGTATGTAGTTATTCTACCATCACAAACCTGGAAAGCAAAACAAGACTATATTAATAATCACCTGTGATTGTCAGTTTATTTTGGCGCCACTGTAAAAGTTTGTGATTTTACAGTAAAAGTTATTTATCATTGAATGTTTAGTTATCGCAGTTATATGTATATTCTTGATAATATGTTAAATTTAAGCCACTCATAAGTACTGTAAAAAAACCAGCCACTGGGTTTTACTTTCCTGTCAAAATAATAGCATCCATAGATTTCCACAGCTAAAAATATATTATAATCTACACAACATGCAAGTATCTGTTATGACACCCACCTGATTGAGTCCATAATATTCTCCCAGACTGTCTCCAGACTCGCTACCAGTCTTGGCTTTAATTAATAACACATCACCGTTGTATTTTGACGCTGGGTTGTAAGCATCACATGCAACCAGTCTTCTGTAGAACGCCTCTGCTGCCACCAACAAACTTTCAACATCTTGTGATGGATGGACATCGGCAACCTTGCTGCTGGCTAGATGCAGGCGTGATTGCAAAGATTTGCAAGCGGTGAACTCTTCCTTTAACTGTTATAAGAGAAAAATTCAAACAATGCTAAGCAACAGTTCTGGCATGCATAATATTATATTTTCAATATAACTTTGAAAAATCCTGGTTTTCTTTATAGTTTGCAATTGTTAAAATTATTTTTTTTTATTTGGTAAGCCAAAGTTGTCACTTACCTGTGGGTAGTTAATGGGAATAAACTTCTGTACAAATGCAAACATTGCCACAGTTTCCATCACATTCTCATCTTCAGCTTCAAACTTGTCTCTGTACAACTGTGTGTGTGCAGAAACATATGCATGAGAGCCATCCAATAGGATCAACTGCTCCAGTCTATTGTCAGCGTTTTTCTTACTCTGAAGTTGTAATGCCATCTCAAAAGCCACAGATGCACCAAATGAGTACCCGGCAAGTCTGTAAGGTCCAATAGGCTGTATTGCCTGCATACGGTCAATGTAGCAGCGAGCCATGCTTTCTATTGAGTCTGTGGGAACATCTGGTGTACCTTGAATACCATAGCATGTACACTGCAGTCTACATGCTAAGTCCATTAATTCAGTAACAGTGCCCTCTATAGGGTGGATGATGAAAAGTGGCCGGCCTGTGTCATTTTCAATTTTATGTAAATCCACAACTGTCTCTGCTGAGAAGTCTGGCGACACTTTAGCGGTGGTTGTACTTTCATCAACTCTTGCGGCAACTTGTTGACTGTCTGTCTTGGTTGGTTCAGCTACAGCGCCACCATGGGCAAGTTCATTTAATTTATTCACTGTAAGTTTTCTGATGTCTCGCATCGGCATCACAATATCATAGTCTCGTTCCAAAGTCTGGCGAATTTCAACACCCATCAATGAATCCAGTCCCAGATCAGCTAGAGTTGTGGTAGGATTCAAAGTGGATGGATCCTGGACTCCCAAAATATGTGCAACGGAATCCACCAAGGTGGCTTTGGTTGAAGTCTGGTCGTTCTTGACACTGGTAGATTTCTCTGCCAGTACATAGCTGGACACCACTGGATGTGATTGGGCAAGGAAAATATCAAGAACAGAAAGACAAGACCCAATTCTCTGAGGCAATGTACCACCCACCACTGTATTATTGTCACCCATTGTGTCTTGTATGATACCAACGTCACCAATGGCACCCCACTGTATGGCCAATGCTGAAGAGTAAAATGAAGTAAAGATCAATTCATAACGTTTCAGAGAATTGATGTGCATAACAATATTTATTAACATAATTAATCAATACTATCTTGTTTTATTTTGGTTTCATTTCTAGATTTGAAATCAACCAATGGTTGATGCAATTATAAGTCACTAACCTGGATACCCATCATGACATCTCTGTTCACATATTCTTTCCATGGCTGAGTTTGCAAATCCATAATTAGTCTGTCCTACATTGCCACGTCCACTCACAACAGATGAATACACAACAAACCAGTCCATGCTTTTAGCGCAAAGTTTACGGGTAGCTTGGTCCAGATTGCACGTACCAATGTACTTAGCAGCACAGACTGATCTGAAAGTCTCAGGAGTCTGGTTTTCCAATAAGCCATCTTTCAAAACCTGGAGTATGGAAACAGGTTTTTTTATTATTTCTAAACATATACATGTACTATAAATATCAATGAAAAATGCCCACATGTACGTCTAATAGATACAGTGGTTTACTATATATATTCACCATTGCAAGATGAAATAATCCTCCAATAGGTGCAATTTGGTATGCATCTTTTATTAACTTCTCAGCACCATCAGTTTCAGTTATATCTACAGTTGAGATAATGACCTGGACTCCAAGGTCACGCCATTTTTTCACACACCGACTCTGATAGCCATTGCGAATACCTGATCTAGACGTCAGAACAAGGTGAAGTGCACCTACAATAAAGTAAAAAGTTATATGATTTTGAATCTTGTTGTTCGAATATAGCAGCCATTGTCAAAGCCAAGCTTGAGATTACCCAGAGGCATTAAAATAGCTTCATTCATTGATGGACCTAAAAGAAGAATTTTTCACTCATTCAAAATTCTCATTCTCAATTTCCACTTCACCCGCAACACACATAATTTTTGCACACCAAAAGATAACACCTACCTCTTTCAACAAGCCAGTTAGCTAACTCTAAACCAAACCCTCCAAGACCACCAGTTATAATGTAAGTTTTTTGGGGATGGCATATGCTACGTGTTATTGCTGGCATTTGTATGGGCCTTGGCATAGTCACAGAATCAGATTCTTCACTACAAACCTACAGAAAAAAAAAAAAATTGAAAAGTATAATTAAACAAAGAACAATTTTTAGTACTTGAAATACAAACATGTATGACATCTTTACTGTTCTCCGTATTTCATCAAGAGAAAAGTTCAACAGAGATGACGTATTTCCATTGAATGAATGCAGTAAAAAAAAATATTTGAAAATGTAATTTGTGTATTTTCAGCATATTTCAGCAAAATAAATTTCACTTAGAATATGAATATGAATGATATGTGAAAGCACTTAATAGTTATGGGATTAGTTTTAATACCAACCTGGATAAGCACTTTACCAATATGCTTGCCTTGAGCCATGTATCGAAAAGCGCCCTCTGCATCATCCTTTGTAAATACTGTTGTTTTTAGTGGCTGTACTGCACCAGATTTGATTCCTTGTGAGAGTAAATTATACACTGACTGCCAGTCAGGATTGTTACCGTCAAACAAGGCATCCAATAGGATACCATGAAATGTAACGTTACGCAAGAATAAGGACATACCTGCAGTAAAGAGAATAAAATAAAAATGCTATACACATTTAATAATGGAAAATGAAAGTAGTACAACACTAAGAATTTTACAACAGATAATACAAACGTATTAATAATCATTCTATTAAACTCTCATAGCCTACAAATTAATATCAACAATAATTGTTATTATTCTTGTAAGTACAAACAGTACAGACGAAACACCATGTGGGAAATCAAATTATCAAATATTCTACTGACATGCATAGATTAATTATTAATCTTACCCAATGACGAGTTATTGGAAAGGTCATATTTGCCAATTTCTAAGAATCGGCCATGGGGTGCCAGCAGCCTGACACTTGCCTGTAACTTCTCTTCTGCTAGTGAGTTTAAAACAACATTAACACCTGTGAAAAAAAGTCACATACAGCTTCAAAAAAAATAAAACAAGTGGCATATGCAATCATATCCTTTTGCAGCAAAATTACTGCTAGAATCTATGATGACTATTACAGTCAATTAATGATTTTATTTTAAACACCAACAGTATGATAAAGACCTTACCCATTCCCTCCGTAGCTATCAGTATCTTTTGTTCAAACGAGGAATCCCTTGAATTACCAAAATGTTCTTCTTTTATTTCTGGAAATCTTGACATAAGGTAATTCTTCTTTTCCCGAGAACCTGAGAAAATAAGTTGCAAACACATACAACTACTATCCAGACAACATATGAAATGTGTGAAATTATTACCAAACATCACCACCACCTGTATGCTAGTCCACATTAAACCAAAGTTTTGAAATGAAGTAAATCTGTAATATTGAATTCGACAACAGATCAAAAATCAAAAGTATATTATTCATGGCTGAGGAACACACAATAGAATATACCCTAGGCTTGTGCTCTTATAGGTTGTACAAGTCAATTACTATGAATAGAATAACGTGAATATAACGTGACTTACCAATGGTTGTGAATACTTGACACCCCTGGTGAAGGGCAACAGAGATGGCAGCTTGTCCGACACCACCTGATCCAGAATGTATCAAGATACTTTCCCCTTTTCTCAGCTGCCCTCGGACAATCAGTGCATAGTATACAGTCGCGTAGACGACAGGAACTGAGGCAGCTTCCTCCATAGTCCATGATTGTGGTATGGCCCAGGTGAAGTCTTTATCAACACTCACTGTTGTTGCTAGACCTTTAGCAGGTACTAGTCCCATCACCCGCTGACCTGCGTGGTTACGACCAGAAAATTCCATTCCTAATACACAATCGTGTGAGGCAATCTTTCCTAAAAAATAAAAATAAATAGAAATAAGATTACACTGATTACACTGATTACACTGATTACACTTTTTTTTTACTAAAAAAGCTTGATATTTGCCATCTACATAGAATGGGATTTAAAGTACTTGTCACATACCTGGTAGAGCATCTGGAGTCAGTTTTCCAGTGGCCACCATTATATCCCGGAAATTGAGAGATGCATAATACACAGTGCAAATATCCTGTCTGTAACTGTTGGATTCTGATATGGCATATCTCAAAGGTGATGCAATCCATTTCAGTGAACTGAGATCACCACGTGTAAGTACGTTAACATATGCATGTGAGGTAAGGATGGTGCTGGAATTAGTTGAAGTGCTGATTGGCACATGGCGAAATGATCCCCAGGAACCATCACGGTAAATGTTCATCACTAAGTCTCTTAGCGTTATCTTTTCCAATGCTTTGTCATTGTTTTTCAGATTCATTAGCTTGGAATTGTTCTCCAGACTGGCATTAAATATGCACCTGTAACAATAAGTAAAATCCAATTAAAATCACATGTAAAATAACAATACAACTCATTGTTTTCCTGGCAAATTTGTAAACTTATAATATGCTCAAAATACCAAAATATTTAAATGAAATGCCAGTGAAAATAAATGGTTTTTAACAGTAGCATGTGATATATGCAATGTGTAGTTCAGTGCTGATCAACAATGATTATACACAAATATAAATTATATATTTCTACAGCCAATAGATAGATAGATTCCAATTACAGTCAAACTTAACAATATGTACTCCTACTACACACATGCTACTGAGAACAGATTAGCAGTAGCATGGCTGTAATGATTTGGATGTAGCTAGAAAACAAAGGCATATAAAGAAAAACTGAGATTCCTACAGCGTTATCAATGTTTTTGTGAAATTGACTGATCATTCGCATAACTGAAAGATTTTTGAATAGTTGGAATAATTAAACTAGCAGCCTGTCGGCTGATATAGCTCCGCTGTTTGTGATGCATGCTCTGAAAGCAATGACTAAGAAGCAATTTAAACTTAATGCTAGCTGCTTTAATATCGCAAGACACCAACTTTCTTGATTTTGTTGCAGAGAATATTTCACTAAAAGTAGAGAATTGAAGATATCTTTACAAAATGGATAAATCTACCCAAGCTGCATGTGTATCAAAGAATTTGGACTACTGGTTTTGCATGAAAAATGACAAAAATATTTGCTAAAAATAGAGAATTGAAGATGTTGACAGGAAGTGAACAAATCTGATATAGGTCCACCCGGGGTACATATATACCAAGAATCATGGCATTCAGGTTAACAATTTTGAAGAAGTCGAAAATATCATTTTTGAGCCAAAAATGACAAATCTATTCGCTGAAAATAGAGAATTCAAGATATGGTTACGAAATGAACAAATCTGATAGAGGTCCACCCAAGGTACCTACAAATAAAGTTATAAAGCAATCAGGTAAGAGGTTTTCAATAACATGTTGAAAATAACATTTTTTACCAAAAATTACAAAAATATTCACTAAAATTAGAGAATTGAAGATATCGTCATGAAATTAACAAATCTGACTGAGATCCACCCAAGGTACTGTACCTACCGTAAATGTACAAATAAATTTACAAAGCAATCAGATTAGAAGAAGTTGAAAATAACATATTTACGAAAAATGACACAAATATTCACTAAAATTAGATATTTGAAGATATCGTCATGAAATTACCAAATTTGACAGAGAATCACCCAAGGTACCAATAAATGAAGTTACAAAGCAATCGGATTAGCAGTTTTCAAGAAGAAGTTAAAAATAACGTTTTTGACCAAAAATTTCAAAAATATTCATCAAAATTAAAGAATTGAAGATATTGTCACAAAATAAACAAATCTGACAGAGGTCCACCTGATATACCTACATATAAAATATCAAAGAAATTGGACAAGCAGTTTTCAAGAAGAAGTCGAAAATAGCATTTTTGACCAAAAATGACAAAAATATTCGCTATAAATAAGACAATTGAACATATCCACATGAAATGAACAAATATGAGAGAGAAGCACCCAAGGTACCTTCCTAGAAAGTTTCACAGCTATACAATTTGTGGTTTTTAAGAAGAAGTCGAAAATGTAAAGTTGACAGCGGCGGTCACTATAAGCTCCGCTCGACTTTGTCGACAGTGGAGCTAAAATGCAAAATACCAAAATTGGTTGTCTTTTAGACAAACATTGGTATGGCATATGCCCTACTGCATTCATCTTTCAGAAGATATACAGGTTGTTAGCATGCTTAGTAACTTTTACAGAATGTCTGAATCACAGAATATTTTTTAACTTATTTCACCCCGTTAATTGATTGATTCAGTTAATATTAATTTTTTTCAAATCATTTATTATATTTGAAATATATACCAGCCATATAGTAAAATCGAAAATAACCATCACTATTTTATACCTAAGTCTATCTCCACCAGGTTCTTGCTTCAAACAGTTCATCATACCGACAATCCCAGAATCCACAGCTGTATCCACTAGCAACCAGATCTTCTCTCTTGAATTCTTCTCTTGAAAGTTTGCAATTGTCTCCTTCAAGGTGTCCACCCATTCAAAGCTAGCATCATTTACTGCTAAGACGTAGGAGCCTTCGGTAAATGGTACACACTTACGGCATAGGAACAGGGTTGACTGCAAACCATCAGATTTTTGAGAAACAATTTCAAAATTGGCCAATTCCAAAACAGTCACCCATTGCTCCTCAGTGAGAAAGATTCCATAATGTCGCTTCAAGGAATTGTTATTTGAAAGGTCTTTCGATAACATCTCCAAGACTGCAGGTGCTGTAAAGTTAACGGTTCTCTCATGTAAAAGCAGAAACCCACCCTCTACCAAAGTTGATGAGATGTTGGTCAAAGCTGAGGGAATGTTTGACACTCCGGCAAGGCCCTCAGCAATAACCAGGTCTGATGAACTGACACTATTGGGAGGGGATTGCGTAAGTTGCCATTTCATCATTGAAACACCAAATTGTTGGAACTTCTCCTCTTTCAATGAGATGATCTCTTCGGACTCGTAGCTTACAGTATAGTCAAGCTGCAGCAGTGGATGTGAATTCAGTGCAGGAACCACTTTGCTGTACAAGCCACTTCCCCTAACACCAACTTCCACAATTTTCATCTTCATGCCTGGTGTGTTCTCCATCACCACATCCAGACAATTCTTCAGATACCTCCCGCTACTCAAAACGCTCAGTAATTTATCACTTTGTATCAGATCAGAATTGAGGTCCAGTTTATTTCGCACGTCTTCAGTGAACGATCCACTCAGCTGCAGATTGTAGATTTCATGCATGACCCTAATTAGACCACACTGTGGATCCTCCATGTATTTGTTTACATCATCAATTACCATCATTCTTGGCTTCATTCCATTTGTCATCTCCTGTAGTAGTTTGGCATTTGGGAGATCAATTTGTTGCTGTTGACATTTCTTTTGAACCTGGCAAAACAGATCTATGGCATACTTGTCACAGACCATATGGTATTTTAACAACTCTGTGTCACCTTTTGCAATTTGTTTTTCGTAGTATGGTACAAAGAGAGATTGCTCCAGAGTTGGAGGAGTTTGTTGTTGTTGACGTCTTGGTGCCACAGTAGCATGCAGACCATATATCTCTATACCACCAGCAATACATCTGTCAGTGAATTTACCAACTGTGGCCTTTACTTCTGCAAAGGAATATAGCAGCAATTTATTATGAATTCTTCACACAAGGGTGAATTATAAAATGAATAATTATGTGTCTGCCATACATAATCAGTACTGCTACTGAAGGTAGTAGAGGTAGCCTATGCTAGACCAGTACCATACTGGTCCAATGTGGAGACACTTCATGCTAGACTAGTGCCATACTGGTCCAATGTAGAGACACTCCACGCCAGACCAGTATTATACCTGTCCAAGTTTTGTCACATTTAGCAGCCACAATAATCTGTGTTAAAAAAGGGGCATTACATATCCCTACTAAGTTTGGTCCAAAAATATGCGAATTAGCTAATTTATGAAAATAACATATTTGGTCCATTACCTAATCAGATCTGAGGAGTATCCAAAAGCACACTTGTACCAAATTGCCTTAAAATATTTTGAGATTTTCATGACACACAGACAACGAAAGCTCCGATATTACCCCACCCCCTGCATATATAATTGTCAATCCCATTCATATTGTGCATTTTATCAAGAATGACCTGTGAGATTCAACCTTTGAGACTTTTTGCATTGTGTTAAATACACATTGTAATTTATTTTGTTGAATTTCAGAGATCTGTTACAGTTTTCTTAATATATATAATGTGATAATTAGAGATGATCTACTCATTTGAATACTCCCTTTCCACACCTACAGAACATGATTTAAAATACCATGTACCGATATAACATATACCGGTAATCATCAAAATTGTGTTATCGTCGTTGATCACACCCTCTCGCGGCGACATACTAGTACTCATCCGTTCTATGTAAATATTATACTGGTCCAAAGTTAAGGCACTCCATGCTAGACCAGTAGCATACTGGTCCAAAGTAGAGACACTCCATCCTAGACCAGTATTATACTGGTCCAAAGTAGAGATACTCCATGCTAGACCAGGGCCACACTGGTCCAAAGTAGAGGCACTCCATGCTAGACCAGGGCCACACTGGTCCAAAGTTAAGGCACTCCATGCTAGACCAGTAGCATACTGGTCCAAAGTAGAGACACTCCATGCTAGACCAGTATTATACTGGTCCAAAGTAGAGGCATTCCATGCTAGACCAGTATTATACTGTTTCAAAGTAGAGGCACTCCATGCTAGACCAGTAGCATATTGGTCCAAAGTAGAGGCACTCCATGCTAGACCAGTATTATACTGGTCCAAAGTAGAGGCACTCCATGCTAGACCAGTAGCATATTGGTCCAAAGTAGAGGCACTCCATGCTAGACCAGTATTATACTGGTCAAAAGTAGAGGCACTCCATGCTAGACCAGTACCATACTGGTCCAAAGTAGAGGCACTCCATGCTAGACCATTATTATACTGGTCCAAAATAGAGGCACTCCATGCTAGACCAGTATTATACTGGTCCAAAATAGAGGCACTCCATGCTAGACCATTATTATACTGGTCCAAAGTAGAGACACTCCATGCTAGACCAGTATTATACTGGTCCAAAATAGAAGCACTCCATGCTAGACCAGTACCATACTGGTCCAAAGTAGAGATACTCCATGCTAGACCAGTATTATACTGGTCCAAAGTAGAGGCACTCCATGCTAGACCAGTAGCATACTGGTCCAAAGTAGAGACACTCCATCCTAGACCAGTATTATACTGGTCCAAAGTAGAGACACTCCATGCTAGACCTGTATTATACTGGTCCAAAGTAGAGGCACTCCATGCTAGACCAGTAGCATACTGGTCAAAAGTAGAGGCACTCCATGCTAGACCAGCATTATACTGGTCCAAAGTAGAGGCACTCCATGCTAGACCAGTACCATACTGGTCCAAAGTAGAGGCACCCCATGCTAGACCAGTATTATACTGGTCCAAAGTTAAGGCACTCCATGCTAGACCAGTAGCCTACTGGTCCAAATTAGAGGCACTCCATGCTAGACCAATATTATACTGGTCCAAAGTAGAGACACTCCATGCTAGACCAGTGTCATACTGGTCCAAATTAGAGGCACTATATGCTAGACCTGGGCCACACGGGTCCAAATTTTAGGCACTCCATGCTAGACCAGTATTATACTGGTCCAAATTTTAGGCACTCCATGCTAGACCAGTATTATACTGGTCCAAATTAGAGGCACTCCATGCTAGACCAGTACCATACTGGTCCAAAGTAGAGGCACTCCATGCTAGACCAGTGTCATACTGGTACAAAGTAGAGGCACTCCATGCTAGACCAGTATTATACTGGTCCAAAGTAGAGACACTCCATGCTAGACCAGTAGCATAGTGGTCCAAAGTAGAGGCACTCCATGCTAGACCAGTATTATACTGGTCCAAAGTTAAGGCACTCCATGCTAGACCAGTACCATATTGGTCCAAAGTAGAGGCACTCCATGCTAGACCAGTAGCATACTGGTCCAAAGTAGAGACACTCCATGCTAGACCAGTAGCATACTGGTCCAAAGTAGAGACACTCCATGCTAGACCAGTAGCATACTGGTCCAAAGTAGAGACACTCCATGCTAGACCAGTAGCATACTGGTCCAAAGTAGAGACACTCCATGCTAGACCAGTAGCATACTGGTCCAAAGTAGAGACACTCCATGCTAGACCAGTAGCATACTGGTCCAAAGTAGAGACACTCCATGCTAGACCAGTAGCATACTGGTCCAAAGTAGAGGCAGACTATGTGTTATTTAAACATGAACAATTGTGTCAAAAAATGTTATGACACAATCCTGGAGATTGACAGCTTTTCATTTTCAGCTTTCAGGCATGTTACATCACATGTCAATAAACTTACCAGTCTGTCTACCCTGCACACAGTTCACCCTCTTGAAATGTTCAACAGGATCTATTCGAATTCTTCTAATTCTTGTCGGTAATCTAAGGCTCCTACCAGGCTGTCGTAAAATCTGTATTTGTAACATGGTGTCAGTAAACGATACCCAGTTACCATTCCATGCAAGCATTCCTTTGTTACCTGCAATCATCACAGAATCAATGAATTAATTGCCAATAACCAATAATTTCTACATTTAATAGTAAAGGTGAAATGATATATAGAAAATGGTATTCAACAAAGCCCTTGCTGGGAATACAGACGCTATATCAACAGTAATACTGTAACAAATATCAGTATGTTGATATAATAAATAATTATTTATAGTAGTTAGTAGTGATAGTAAAATAATTATTATAATATACCAGTATTTGAGTTGCCTAAATACGTGATTCTGATTGGTCAAAAGTATGGTTTTAATTATGCAAGCTGTGATTAAATGTCAGAAGCAATGACCTATTAGAAGTACATGCGCTCATGTCTATGATCAAAATAAGTATTTTAGAAATAACAATTCAGAATACAGCAAATATATATATTATATATATATCTACCAGAATTGTTAGCACGGGTTATCCCTTGAAAAGTTGCTCCATAATCATATCCTCTGAGTCTGAGTTCTTTGTATACATCACTTGCAGATAGTTCCAATGCCTCATTATCTTCTACTCTATTCACTTCTTCGTCCTCCAAGGCATCAAAAATTCTCAATGGTTCACCAGGGATTTCTACTTTGCCAGATACACATAACTGATTGCTTTCAGAAACTTCAAATATTCCTGTGGTTGGTGCTAGACACACTTCTAGAGTCACTTCTCCTATAATTTAAAGGGACACATTCAGTAACCAGTCAGATTAAAACACATGTTTACATAAGTAGCAGCAATACTGGTACTGCATGGCACTAATATTTGCTTTATTAGAAACACATGCACTTACCATACTCAATGTCTTGAATGTACTTAATATTTATATAGGTCATAGTCTATTTTGTATTAGTATGTTTTTCAGTCCTGTTACACTGATAGTTACAAATGAAATTGTTTGCTCAGTGTAAAATATTGTGACAACTGAATTGTCACAAATTTGTTATCCACTCAACATTTTAGATTATATTCTACCTGCATTCAGAATTGTCTGTCTGACCTTGCTCTGAATAGAGAAATACAGATGCATTGGTGTATAAGAAAAAAAAAATTGTTTCCTGACAATATCACTTACTTGCACATTTGTTAGTGCATTCTCTATCGTACTTGTAATATAACATCTATGAAGTACTGAACTCCCCTCTAACATTCTTAACACCCCACCCCCTCCATAAACTTTAATATTACCTTGGTTTGGCAAAATAGTTGCTCTATGTATAGTGACATCATCAAAGACCACTGAAATTTGTTGGTATGGTAACCCACGTATTTTAGCCAGAGTTTTCCATGCAAGCAGGAGATATCCAGTTGCTGGGTACAACATTCTGCCATCAATGCAGTGATCACGCAGATAATGGTCTTCTGATGAGGGAGATACATCTAGTGAAAGGAAGTAAAGTCAGCATCGGCTCTTCAAAATAGTTTTCATTAATTAAATAATGTTGGAAAAGATTACAAGACAATACTGAACTTACCAATTGTATATGAGACTACTGAAGTGTTCTGCCCTCTTCCTGTGGAGAAATCTTTGGCTTTTGGGACATGCCATTGCTGTGAGTGGTCCCAATGGATCAACGGAGCGATGGATGGCGTATTTCTGGTTACCGGATATTGGACTTCTGGGAACAATTTGTTGATGTTTAGTTTCATTCCACTGAGGTAACATTTTCCAATGTTGGACAAGAAGAATTCAAGGTTGTTTACATGGTTGCGTTTCATTAGCCCAATAAAGGCACAGTTTGGACTGAGAGAGCGCTTCAGGATAGCTTGCAGCAGGCAATGCGGAGAGACTTCAATTGTGATAGCATTGGATGGTACATGAGACAAAGCTTCTTGAAATAACACAGGATTGACCAGATTATTTACATGATAGTCAGCAGAGCTATACTTGGCTAGTTTGGTATTCCAGTCGTCTTGAGGAATGGAGGAACTGATCCACCGTGGTGATCTCTGGCGTGGGTTTTTGATAACCTATAATGAAAATTGCATTACTGATATCACGCTAATTTAGTGATATTTTAATCATAACACAGTATGAGATTTATATTTATAAGCGTTGTATAATGTTTAAAGCTACGTTTTTTTTTTTTTAAATTTTAATTACAAATCACTGGTATTTGGGGGGAAATAAGAACAAGTTTTGGGTTTGATCTCTTGTTTTGATAAAATCAGAAAATAACAACTTTGAAGCAGCAATTAATATAGCTAAGAGTATTGAACATTTTTCTCAGGTTTTTATATAATTAATGCCAATTTGTAATGGCCATCGCAGAAATGTGAACCCTGAGAGCACAGCATATACACTATATACCAACATTGTACATTAAATTGCTTGCAAGCGAAAAAAGATGGCGGGTGAGTCCAGGTCTCCAGAGGGCTCCATCTACTGAAATCCTATCTCTTAGAACACTCTCATCACGCTAATTGTTTCAGCAACATTCTCAAATAATATATTGAAAATGAATGAATAAATTCACAAAATGAATAGCTTAATTACATTAATTCATTATTTATATTACCTTCATTAAAGCGTTTTTTAACTGTGGTGCAATCTGGGCCATATAGTAGGAGTGGAAGGCTACATTGGAACTGTTCACTTCCCTGGCAAAAATATCCTGCTGTTTGAGAACACTCACAAAGTCAGCAACTTTAGTTTTTGGTCCTGATATTGTGACAGTGTCTGTTGTATTGTGACAGGCAGCAACCACACCCTCAGGACACATTTGTTTGGCTTCTTCCCAAGACAAACCTGAAATAATACAAACAGTGAAACCAATTTAAATGAATTGCACCGTATTATCGATGTGACAAGCATGTATTTGTTAATATTATTGTGGACAGACACATTGAATTATGATATATCTATTGTGAAAAATTTTAAATGTTGCTTTTGCCATGCCAATAATAAAGATTTGAGCTGATTATTATTGTACATCCTAAAACAAACTGTTCATTGAACAAATATTACAATATTGCAAGCTACAAAACAAAAAATGTTTTTAGTTCATGATAAATCATAATCAAATGTATCCAATAATATTACCGTACTAATAATAATATGTTGTCATCCATATTGCATACTTCAAATGCTTAGTTCTCAGAAAATAAATCAGCAGAATAAAAACAAATACATGGTTTAATTGTTAAAGTATAACTGTCTAAATGTGAACTCCTAAACAACTTACCAACAGCAGCCATGCCACCAGCTGGTAGTTCAGCATCAATCACACACTTGCCTCTCCAGTAAGCAGCAAGGATAGTCTCTCTTGCTGTAAGGCAGCCATCGGCATAACCACAACCTAACTCACCAACAGAATGTCCAATAATACCATTAGGCTCTACACCCATTGACTTCAAGACATCAACCAAAGCAATCTGGCAATAGAACAACATTTAACAGTAAATCAAAGAAAGCTTAGAAAGAACTCCTGTGTGCTGAAAGACACATTGAAATTAATTCAAACTTTAAGATTTGCTTTTCAAATGAGAAGCTTGGCAACTAATATTTGTCTGCAATTTGAGATGCACAACTTGAAAACAATGTGATTTACAGTATCAAAATTTATAATACATACAGAAAATACATTTGAATTTTCATTCATGGTTTTTAGTCTAATTCCAGAGCACCTCTGTGATGAATTCAAGTTAAATAGAGCAAGATATCAGAAATGGGCTAATAATAGATAATCAATATGCATGTTTATCAATGTTAAACTAATCATGTCTGTGGGTTATCGCAATGAACCAAATAAATTATTATACAAATTCAGCATTTATTATGCATAGATTTAGGTCTGCATATTGTTTCAGAAATTATGAATTATTATGCAAATTAGGTAATTAATATGATCTGATTTTAACACAAAACTGAGCAGGGATGTGCATCGTTCTAGAGCATCAATGTACCATTGAAATGGAATAATTAGTACATGTTATATCAGTGTAAAAGCTGAAAATTGGGCTAATTATGCAAATTAGTTGATTAATATGCACACATTATTACCCAAAATTAATCAGGTCTCTGAATTGTTCTAGAGCATCTATGTACCAAGTTTCATTGAAAAATAGTGAAGTAATATGTGTAGTACTTTAAATATCAAAAGCTGAAAATTGATTAATTATGCAAATTAGGTAATTAATATTTCACCTATCTGTCTGTGCATTGCCCTATGTATCTATTTAAGTTTCATTCAAATGTGATGATTAGTACCTGAGATATCAGTTGAAAAGACGAAAAATTGACTTATCATTATGCAAATTAGGTTAATTATATGCATGGATTTTTACTCAAAACTAATCAAATTTGTGCATTAGTCTAGTGCATCTATGTAACAAGTTTCATCAAAATCAAATGAATGGCACTTTAGATATCAGTGGAAAAGTCCTGAAACAGCTAAAAATTAGCTAATTATCATGCTAATTAGGTAATTAATATGCATGCATTTCGAACCAAAACCTAATCAAATCTGGGCATTAGCCCAGAGCATCTATGCATCAAGTTTCATTAAAAACCAAAATACGGTTCTTGAGATATCAGTGGAACGGACAGACACACACACATACACACATACAGGGTAACTGCAAAGGCTCCCATTGTGTGCTTTGCACACAGGAGTAAAAAATCAGGTGTGTTTTTTTCTCTCTTTAATTTGCTTTCTTTTCAGGAGATACAACAACCATTAAAATCCAACTTTTTTTTCATATTTCACAGAATGTATTGTTGAAATACATCTCTCACCTGAATTGCCGCAAGTCCTACAAATGACTTGACCACATCCTTATAAGTATTTTCATCACTGTTCATTATCATATCATACACATTGATATCCATGTCTTTCAAAGCTTCTGTACAATTCATGATTGATTCCCTATAAGTATTTAGTTTCATCAAGTCTTTACCCATGCCTTGCCACTGCGTGCCCATACCAGGAAACACATACCTGTGTACAAATGCATAATCAGTAAACTCCAACTGACATCACAAATTAATATTTACTCAGTCATCAAATCAATTCACATGGCTATCTCACTCTCAATGAAATTTCTGCAATTATTTATGAAAAAAGGTCTACTGAAAACTGAAGTGATGATATTGCTTCAAATCACTAGAATATATTTTATAACAAATCTGTATTGTCATTTGGTTTAAAGGTCTTACCATACAGGTCTAGTCTCACTGTGGGTTATCTGCTGAGTTTCTTGTACTTTATTCTCACTGTTTACAATCTTGTATCCCCTGTATGGAAATCCTGTTACTGGTTGGTTGCAAACATTATTCATCAAAGATACAAAATCAGGTTTCATCTCATACTCCTCAACTTGGGATAGTAATTTATCCAAACTCTCCTGAGTTCGGGCATAACAGTGTAACAGTCTAACATCGCTTTTTTGAATGTGTAACGATCTTTTGCTGTGTGGTTTGAGAATCATATGGACATTGGAACCACCAAAACCGAATGAATTGATCCCAACCAAACCATCCGGTAATTCCATAGGTTCATCAACTACTTTGAGTCTACCATCATGAAGTCCCGGAATATCAAGATTGGCATTATGGAAATGCAGATTTGGTGGAATGATTCCTTTTTCCATGGCTAGAATTATTTTGGCAACAGCAGCAAGTCCAGCAGCAGGTTCCGGATGACCCATGTTTGATTTCACTGAACCAACAAGTAGAGGATTGTCTTTGTTTCTATCTTTACCAAAGACATCAACAATAGCGTTGATTTCTTGTGGGTCACCGACCTTTGTACCAGTACCATGTGCTTCAACATACACAACATCTTTGGGTTCAATGCCTGCTTCTTTGTAAACTCGTTTTATGAGTTTTTTCTGTTCAGCCCCAGAAGGGAATGTAATACCTGGAACACATTTAGATATTTTTCTGTTACCCTTGTTGTAGTGTTATCTGTCATATAACTGGAAAGTTAAATTATTTAGGCATATATTTTTTCTTAAAATACAAAAATATAAAATACAAGTCATTGTTAATGACACAGTCCCCGTCCAAAATTGTGTGATCTGACATATCAATTTGATGCTGATAAAGTCATTGAGATTAGATTGAAACCATTAATAGGAGACGGATTTGTAAAAAAATATGATTTAGTGCTTTTACATGAGAATTGGGCAGTCATATTGAATCAAATTACAAAAATAATGTTCATGTTGATGTATCTATTGGTATACTGTCTTTGTACAAAATTTAAACAGAAATGTTCATTGCATTCATTGGAAAGTAGTCATGGGTATCATGAAAAACAAAATGGCCACCAGTCAGCCATATTAGTTTGAATCACAGAAAAAATATGACATGTAACTATAACCCAATATGTATGATCACCATACCAACTTTGATCCAAAAGCGGCCTAGTCATCTCTGAGAAACAGCCTCGGACATGTAAAAATGACGATTTAGCACTTTTACATGAAATTTGGGCGTCAGTCAGTACTTACAGATGGACGGACGGAACAAACCCAAATTACTTTGTTCGAACAGGGACTAATAATATTTAAATTAATATATTAAATTTGTATGTACTAAATATGTATTTTTGTACTGTTCAGATCTCTGAGTTTTATAGATTCCAATCAATTGATGGTGAAAGCTATATATACTGTTGTGAACTAGGAGGTGTTGGTCAGTCTACTATTGTATGCTGGAGAGACAGGATCTGAGTATTGTGTTCCCCAAGGCTAAAAGTACATGGCTGTGAACTTTACTTGGAGAAGTCTGTTTGACTTCATATCAATTTGCGAGTATCATACAACTTTAGGAAGACATTAGCTAGTCTCCGGTTCCACTGAACTCTAAGGTCAACTTGGATGAGTGTTCCTATCCTGCTAAACAAAACTGAAATTGTTGGCTATGTAATCACGATTTGAACACTTACATTCTTAGTTATCTATAAGCCATTCAAAGCTTGTGGTAGACTTTTGAACACTTAAATTGGGTTATTTATACTTTGTTTGTCAAGTAAAAAAAACACTTGTATTTTAAAAGTATTACATTCTTTGAGCATTTATAAGATTATTTTGTATGTACGAGTTGTGATAGTATTTATGAATACAATAATATATAATTGTTAGAGCAACATCTGCTTAGTCACTGATTGTATAAATATCAAATGTCGGTATTGATTATTAAATTGATAACTTTGTAATTTGTCATTTTAATGTTTTTATACTGTCACTAATTGTGACATTCCAACCATAACAAGATAAAATGACGATGTTATGTCAGTCCATGCAAGACACAACAAAGTCTGGTGTTGCTATGGTGAAACAAATCTGTGAATTCTACTGTCTAATAGGTTTTGTACACAAGCAAGTCATAATAGTCAATGTTTTACAAATTAAATTTTCAAACAATAAAGTAAACCTAGTGAAACAATTGTAAAATACTTTGCCGATGCTGCTCTCACATTGATGTGTTTCTTGGTTCTCACATACATGAGCATAAACAAAACACATTCACTTAATTAGCCATTGTATATGTTTATATAAATGGACATGTAGTCAACAAAATTATCCATGTTTTTACTTGGTGTACTTTGCATTAATGCAGACCATTAACTACATTGTATAGTGTAAAAATGTGCAAGAAAAATAAAAATTTCATAACTCACACTCGACACCCTACCCAAATAGCTCACCATTTTTTTGGCCTTATTATGCTGTTTTACTGTAAAATCTAAGGGCTTGTAAGTGGAAAGAATGTATTCATTTTTTTTATTTTTCTGGGTCAAAATAGATAAAACAAAAGCTTGTAATTTTTCATTGTGATGATAAGAATGTGCACAAGATTGAAAACAAAGAGACTCACCTTTGTCTTTATATCCATCTGTGTTAGTGCCACCATGAATTACTGTGGAGTATATTCTTTTAGCATCAGATGATTTCATCATTAAGATTGCAACACAGGCTTCAGATCTACAGTAACCATTCCCTAAAGGTGAAATTAGAATTCACACATGTTTTCATTACAGACACCATTTTGTTTTAACCTTTATGTAAGCTTTGAAATACCATTATGCATATGAAGAATGTTTGTTTACAGGGTATTAACATACCATACTCGCCCAACTTGATGCCCAGGGTACTCAGCTTCAAAAATCGTGTGTTTCGAAAAGAAGTTCAAATGACAATTTTAATTCACTGTGTGTTAGATGGAGGGGAATATTATGTTATTTGGGGAAAATAACATTTTAAAATTAGTTGCTTTGTCATTGAAGAAACAAAAATGGTCACAAAAAATATGCACATTTTATTACAATATTAATTTTGAACCAATGTCCCAAAAGTGGAGGGTGCTTAGCTGAGCATGGGCACTAAGTCGATCGAGTATGGTAATATGCGTTTCAAATAGACCAAATACAGTATAAGTGAATGAGTCATCTTTAGGGTCAATTGTAATCGACATATACAAAACACAAATAAATTGTTTTAAAAGTGTGACGATTTTGACATTTTAAAGTGAGTTAGAGTCACAGCTATGTTTAATCATCGTGAACTTGAACAATTGTGACAACACTTCACAGCAAGTTAAAACTTAATATGAAACTGATTTTTTACCTTGTACATCAAATGACTTGCACTGTCCTTCAGGAGATAACATACCAAGCTTCATAAACTGCATTGATGTATTGGGTTTGACATTTATATTAAGACCAGCCACAATAGCGGTATCACACTGACCACTGCGGATAGCTCTCAATGCATGTTCCATTGCAAGTAAACTGGATGAGCAAGCCGTATTTAGCTGATAACTGGGCCCTGTTATGAAAAAAACAATATGTTATAACAATTAACTTCATATATAATAAATATTCATATATTTGCATCAAGATGCTGATGATTATTTCAGCTTCCCATTGATTGTGTGTTCGAGTTTTAGAGTGTTCTGTGTGCACACAAATTTGTTTTCATCTCAAATTACTTGCAGACTGTAGATATTCAGAATATTGGTGAATTTAGTTTAACCATCAATTATTTAGACCTGATGTGTGATGTATGTGTGAAGTTTAAACTTGATTGTCCAGGCATGAACAAAATGCATGGTACTGCATTCATTTACACAATATAGACCACCATTTTGATTTGATGGTGACAAAAATGCATGTGTGTTTTCCCGATATGATGTATATTCATGTAATTCAGGCATGTGGCAGATGTGGATCAGGAACTGAATTCTTTGAAACAAAATGGCCACCAGTCAGCAATTTTGAAACCAAACTGAAAAATACAAGCATTAACAATGCACAGTCTTCATTCTGTATTTAATGCCAACAAGCACCAACTCAGGAGAGAGAGGACTTTTGGCTAAATAGTGCTGTGATGTGATCAATGGTTGTATTTGGTTGAATCACTGAAAAATGTAATGTGCAAGCAAAATCCTGTTTGTAGAATCCTGGTTTTTTGAACTCAATCAGTCTAAGAAAGTGTGAGATACTGCAGGAAATGCATAGAGGTCAATCCAGAAGTCCCCATTTTTAGACTGCATTTGAAAGAAGACTAACTACTTGACATATTGTATTAGCTCTGAGGTAATAGTCTGAAGACCCAAAAGAAGTAACAGGAATGATGGCAGAGCACAACTTTAATATCTTAACACAGATCTTCATTGCATGTCACAATATGGGTATGAAAGTTCACCTTTGGCAAATTGTTGATGATTACTTCTGCCAAATATTATGGTTTCACCTTACCGATTGCTTTAACTATATGTGTACCTAATTTACATAAATTAGTTGGAAATTAGTTCAACTAGCCCACATACATCACTCTATCGAGCACAAAATTAAGTCACATACAAATGTACACTCACCCTTAAAGTCAAAGAAATAGGATATTCTATTTGCAAACATTGCAGGTGAACAACCAGTCATGCTATAACCAAGTAATGTCTCCATGTCACTGGTAATTGCGTCAACAGTCTCCGATCCAGTGGCACCAACAAATACACCAGTATTGGTGCCTCTCAATATCTGGGGATCAATACCTGACACAAACAATCAAACTTTAGAGATCAAAAGGTTACACCGAAAAACAAAAATCTATGGTGATTGTCTATGAGGGCAGTAAAGATACCTGCATCTACTATTGCTTCGTAAGTTAACTCCATGAATATTCTTAGCTGTGGGTCCATGGTATTCGCTTGCTTAGGATGAACACCAAAGAAGGTTGCGTCAAATCTGCTCAAGTCTTTAATATTACCATTTTTTCTTGGTAAGCCATGAAGACCTAAAACGTGACACAGAGACATCATTGTCACTCAGTGCAACTGAATAATTACTATGGATTCTAATGCTGTAACTGACAAGTAATGAACTTTACAAACATAACATATTTCTGTCTTTATTTCAAACATGAAATAGAGAGATGAAAAATACCTGGTTCCCATCGTCTGTTATCTTCTGTGACCATGTCATCTTTGTTGATGAGATGTTGCCAGAATTCCTCCAAATTATCAGACTCTGGCAACCTGCATCCAATACCACTAATGACAACGTCGTCCATAGCCGTTTCCATGGATCAAACAGAATAGAGATTTATTTCACGCTGCATGATTGAAACAGACACCATCAATTTGAAAACGTTTCATAATTTTTTCTAATACACTGAATTTCAGAAAGCTGTGATTGTTTTGATAAAAGAAATTTTTAAACTTTTTATAAATCTCAGATGACGCATGAAAACAACTTTAATGATTAGTTCAATGCAATTTGAATCAGTATATTAGTCAGCTACCTGTCAGTCGGTCAATTTGACAGGCACTGCCAAGTCATTTCTATTTAATTAAAATAAACCCTATCTATGCATTGTGGTACTATTATTACAATAACAAACTCGCAACAACTCTATATTGAATGAGAATTAAGCTGCGAGATAGCACACTATTGAGCGTAAAATAATGATATATAGTATTTGTATTTGTTAGGTGTTTTAATTCGTGGTTATATCTCTTATTTTGGCTTGTTTTATTGACAAAATCCAGGACCAGAACATGAATGTGCCCGTATCACATGAAACACGGCGTACCAAGCCAATCGTAAACAAATTTGTAAAGCTGATGCTTCATGTAATGTTATTTGGCCTTATTTGTTTGAGTTTGTTTGTATTGTTAATATGCCTTTATTTGTATGTCACATACTCCCCAACACCAGAATAGTTTAACGCCAAAAATGAAACGCAATAGAGTGGTACTCTATCATCACAATGTACACCAATAATGTAATGCAATATCCGAATATCAGGGCAATGGTATTCTATATAAAACATATCGCCAAAGTAGAGTATACCACTTGATATTGCACAATTATAACATATATGCACAAGCTATGAATTGAACAATAATGCCTTTGGCAGGGTTTATCACTCTTATCAGAATTATTTTCCCATTGATTTTAGCAAAATGAGAAAAGCAAAATGAAACTGCAATGCCACGTCCCTCCCCTCTGAAGGCTGGTACACCAGATATCCAAAAACAATGAGTTTGTGTCCATTTAATTGTTGGGCAAAACTATATTACATTTTGATCAATTTGGTTTTCAACGGCAAGTACTAAATGCATTGTATTATTAAATAATACACACATGTTCACTGCCTAAAATGATGTAAATAAAGCCACAATTGGATGAAAAGTCTGCATCTCAAACTCCTTTGTACAGGAAAAAAATGTGCTTCCTTGTCATTTTGTTATGGAATATTGTCTGTTGTCGATGGAACTGTGAAAACGTTTTATTTTTTTCAAACTGGTAAATATCTGACATTCTTACCTAAGGCACCAAACTGTTTACATAATACATGTAGTTTGGTTAATTTTGACAGGTGTTAAAGGATGCCCTCAAGTGCGAATAATTAGTCTGAAATAACTGTACTTGAACAAGGTTACACAGACACATTTGTCCAGGCCATGGGCTGATGTATATGAATATATACAGATTATTAATATGTAGTCTGACTCTTAACACTGAAGAGAAATAAATATATTTTTTGTTAGCTGCATGGACGATGCATTTAATACTAATATTTCCGTCTTGAAAACTAGAGGTTGTAATGACCGTAGATGCAAATTGCATGTGACTTTGTGGTAGTTGCGTCCTCGGAATTATATTTGAGCGTGCACTTGTACAAAACAGCAGAATAAAAAAAGCGTTCGAAATTTGGACAAGATTTCCGACAAGTAGGCAAGTACTAGGTCACGGTAATCGTTCTCCCGACCTCCCACCGTTAGACACTTAGGAAAAAACGATATTATTTCGAAAGAAGAGTGCTTTTGCTTTTTTTTTTTATACCTGGTTTGCCATAATGCCCGGCGCTATTTACCCGTAATTTGTGAATTTCACATAAGTGTCCGATAGTTTGGGTCAGGGAGTTGTCTGCATTTGTGTTAGTTAGTAATACGTATATGAAAGATGTACAGCCACAAGACTGCCAGGCTTTACGCCGAGAGACTGACCCCAAACCAAAAAAAAAACAGTTTGTTATACTCAAATTATTAGTTTGTTTACGTTAGTGTATGTTTATATAAAAATCCCTGAGTGAGTACGATTAAGATATCATATTATATCAGAAGTACATTACTTGGGGTTTGCAACGCACATAGTACCTAAACTTTTGTCGTTTAGTTTTAGGAGTCGGGAAGAACACATCAATCTTGGGTATTTATGGGGAACTGGGAAAATACCCACTCGACGTATTCATCAAAAAACAATTAATTAAATATTTCAACAGAGTAATGAATACATCGAATGAATTGGTAAGGAAGGCAGCAATTATGAACAAACAATTAAACAGCAAATGGTACAGTGCCATAACTACACTGTTAACTGAAATAAACCAACCATAATATATCGAAACAACAACTATACGGAACGACAGAGAAACCAAGAAATTAGGTTTGGAAATTGAAAAAATATATAAATTATACTGGAAAAGGGAAATTAACATAGGGACTGATGACAACCAAAATAACAATAACAGAAGGAATAAACTCAGAACGTACAAAAATTGCAAAAATGAATTATAAACTTCACGAATATGAGTGACTACAACAAATTTTTAAAATTAATGGGTGATACAAACCTGAATGTACAAATACCAGTTGCCCAATTTATCAAAAATAACTCGAACCTTAGACAGCAACATCTTCTGGCAAATTCAACATAAATACTTTTCTCCTTTAATACCTTTTTTCTCATTTCCATCTTTCAGTGATTTACTGTTTATTGCTTTTTTATTATTATCTCATCTATTTTTTTTTCAATATTATTACCTACATATATCAATTGTTTTTTGGTAATTGTAGTTTGTTGATTTTTTAAAAACCATTGTTGTGCTTTAGACAGTAATTCTTGTAAAATTTGTATGTTTTATATATGTGTTTTAGCAGTTAGTGTAACCATTTTAATTCCTTCTGAGGAATTTTAAGTGTTTCAATAAACCTATGAGTATGGTGACATCATGTCAAGATCCCATTCAAGTCTCATCTCGTAGATAGCGAGACGGATGCTACTATCTTCTGACATAACATAGGCGGTTTGTAATAAAACTTGTATTACCATATTCATAGCGAAAAAATGTAATACGTCGAAAATGTACAGAAAATATAGTTCTCGTAATCCGTCATATCGTGAGCAGCTATTTTGATCCACCTGGATATCCCAGTATCCTAGTTACCTCGGGCATGCGCATTCGCATTTTTCTGAGTTGGAACGCTTATGCGAGAGCGAGATTGTGACGGGATCTTGGTATCCTGTCACCGTAGTTGCAAACCCCAAGTAATGTACCTCTGATTGTATTAATATAAACATGTATATGTAGCAACCATCTCACATCTCTATGCCGTGAAAGCTAGCATATGAGGCTCATAAGCTACACATACTCACTAGGCCAAGTCAAATGAATCATTTAGGACATCAATTGTATACATATATACATCACGTGACCCGAATATATCCATCGATGATCATGATCAAGCTTTTGATATAATCTTTGTTTTTATAAACTATTTATAGTTCAGATTGGCATACTATAAAGATAACACACTTCGATTTCGCTATTCGTTATCGAACACTGCAGTCTATATATAGACTCGGTAATTGATATAATGATAAGATAAACACGTTATCCTGTCTCTACGAGATGCCCTTTTACCCACATATATACAAGGCTGGAAAATATATATGGAACGAGGTCGGCCATTTATAAATGAATAAAGTTTTTTTTTCTAAATGTCTTTATATTTTTATCGGGATGAGTGGAATCCGAGTCATTTAAATATTTTGTATTGTGTTTACACCAATTAAATGTGTTGAAAGCGGTGCGTAATCTAAACATATGAACAATGTGATCCGGTTAGTGGAATCTTGATTTTGTACTGTGTCAATAATTGAGTGTAGGAAAGTTCATTTCTATCTATTGACGATGTGTTGATGAATATCTTAACTACAGATATAAGTGGCACAAGTAAGGTTTGGGATTCAGTGAACCGAACGGTTGCATTGTCTCATGGTTACTTTATCTTATTTAGTCAGTATTTATTGAATTTAAGATAATTAAATTACCCTCATACTACCATGTCCTGTAAAAGGGCTACATACTCTGAAATAGGGGACAGCATAGACTGTCGACAGACGAGGGACAGCACAACTCAAGCATATACACGCGCATTTGGACCACGAAAACCGATGGTATTTTCGACAAGAACAGGCACAGGAATAGTTCACGGGACTGACAGTTTTACTCCTTCTTTCGAAGGAGTTTGACAGGTGGGCACAATTGTACTCTATTCGATTGTGCAGCCGACTAAAGGAGTCGAACCCACAGTCTCCCTGATGTTGAGCGAACACATTATGCCCGGGTCGTAATGCCTGGGCCATTAAGCAACACATTACTGAGAACCGCCTGGAAAACTTCCACATTCGTTGTCTCCGACGTATTGGCATCACGTGGCAGGACAGGGTCACTGACGTCGCAGTGCTGGAGAAAGCTGGCTTTCTCAGTATGCATCTCTTGCTCTGTCAGCGCCGTTTGCGATGGATTGGACATGTACACAGAGTGGATGACGGCCGTATACCAAATGGTGTCATGTACGGCGAGCTGGCTTCAGGCCGGTGACCAACAGGACGTCCAGTTCTGTGTTTTAAGGAAGTCTGCAAGCGTGACTTGAAACTGACAGGCATCTATCCAAATTCTTGGGAATCGCTTGCGGACGATCGCAGTGGTTGGAGACAGGCAGTGAAAGGCGAGGAAAAGAGAAAGCAACAGTTGGAGGAGAGAAGAGCAAGAAGGAAAGACAGGCAGCAGAACCAAGTTTAAAGTCCACCTTCAAACTATGTGTGCGGCAACTGCGGCAGAGACTGTCACGCAAGGATCGCGCTGCTGAGTCACACCCGCCCCCTGGGCGCCCGCCGCTGCTCGCAACAAGAGTGAGCGAGCGACTCACTGGACGCAAATCCATCGTCTCCCGAGACGGAAGGATGTCTACTACTGGCATACTGCCAAGATTTGTCGCC